CCCTCTGTGCAAGACCAATTCCATCCCACACCATGATGCTCGGACCACCCCACGAGTCTCTCTAAACAACAAAAGCATCCGAATAACGTTCCCCACGGCAACGCCAGACTCTCTCTCTCTCTCTGCCATCTGCTGTTGAGATACAGCAACGGCTCTCGTCTGAGAAGAGGATTCTTCTCCACTGCTGGTGGTGCCAATGCTGGTGCTGTACTGCCCACTGACAGCGGTGCCGGGTGTGTCCCCATGGTCTGTAGAGCAGTTTCCGCAGCAGTTACAATGCGATCTTGAAGATGCTGTCGCACAATCTGACGATCCTGACGTCGGGTGATGACCCTTGGTCTTCCACTACGTGGTCGGTAATCTGTAGTGTTGGTGGTCTGGTACCGTTGCTGGAGCCTGTATATGATCATTACGTGGACTTGAAATGCATTGGCTACTTGCCGGGCGGTTTGTCCAGCTTGCAAGCTGCCAAGGGTTTGGTGTCGCTGATTTCATGTTACCCGCTCTGGGTGGATTTTTATCGGGCAAGAAATGGGGGAACGCATGTGCATTTCAATTTGCACGGAACTCACGTGCATCGGGTTACCAAGGCCGATGCCGTGATGCGTTTTGGCAATCAGTTTTATTGTCATCTGCTTTGTGTTTTTATCATCAAGTTTCATTTTTCGGACAAGGTAATGTTAAATTATAGAAACTTTGACAAAAATTACCCAGATATTTAAATGACAACTTTTCATGCAATGTTACTCGGGGTGACGTTTCTTTTGCGGTTTAGTATATATTTTATGTGACTGTATCAAAACAGTATATCAGTAACGTTGGAGTCTCATGACCTGATGGTTATAGGTATATTGTCCCTGTACATACAGTATATGGTCTCTACAAACAGTGTATGGTTTCTTCATACAGTATATGATCTATACATTCAGTATATGATCTCTACATACAGTATATGATCTATACATTCAGTATATGATCTCTACATACAGTATATGATCTATACATTCAGTATATGATCTCTACATACAGTATATGATCTATACATTCAGTATATGATCTCTACATACAGTATATGATCTATACATTCAGTATATGATCTCTACATACAGTATATGATCTATACATTCAGTATATGATCTCTACATACAGTATATGATCTATACATTCAGTATATGGTCTGTACATACAGTATATGGTCTCAACATACAGTATATGGTCTGTACATACAGTATATGGTCTCTACATACAGTATATGGTCTGTACATACAGTATATGGTCTGTACATACAGTATATGGTCTCAACATACAGTATATGGTCTCTACATACAGTATATGGTCTGTACATACAGTATATGGTCTCTACAAACAGTGTATGGTCTGTACATACAGTATATGGTCTCTACATACAGTATATGGTCTGTACATACAGTATATGGTCTCTACATACAGTGTATGGTTTCTACATACAGTATATGGTCTCTACATACAGTGTATTGTTTCTACATACAGTATATGGTCTCTGTACATACAGCATATGATCTGTGCATTCAGTAAATGGTGTGTACATTCAATAAATGGTCTCTACATACAGTATATGATCTATACATTCAGTATATGGTCTGTACATACAGTATATGGTCTGTACATTCAGTATATGATCTATACATTCAGTGTATGGTCTGTACATACAGTATATGGTCTCTACATACAGTGTATGGTCTGTACATACATAATATGGTCCCTACAAACTGTACATAAAGTATATGGTCTGTATATTCAGTAAATGGTCTGTACATACAGTATATAATCTCTACATACAGTGTATGGTCCCTACAAACTGTACATACAATATATGATCTCTACATACAGTAAATGGTCTGTACATACAGTATATGATCTGTACATTCAGTAAATGTTCTGTACATACATTATGTGGTCCCTACAAACTGTACATAAAGTATATTGTCTGTATATTCAGTAAATGGTCTGTACATACAGTATATGGTCTGTACATACAGTAAATGGTCTGTACATACAGTACACGATCTCTACATACAGTATATGGTCCCTACAAACTGTACATACAGTATATGATCTATACATTCAGTATATGAGCTCTACATACAGTATATGATCTCTACATACAGTATATGGTCTGTACATACAGTATATGATCTATACATTCAGTGTTTGGTCTGTACATACAGTATTTGGTCTCTACATACAGTATATGGTCTCTACATACAGTGTATGATCTTTACATACAGTATATGATCTATATATTCAGTAAATGGTCTGTACATACAGTATATGATCTCTACATACAGTGTATGGTCCCTACAAACTGTACATACAATATATGATCTCTACATACAGTAAATGATCTGTACATTCAGTAAATGGTCTGTACATACAGTATATGGTCCCTACAAACTGTACATAAAGTATATGGTCTGTATATTCAGTAAATGGTCTATACATACAGTATATGATCTCTACATACAGTGTATGGTCCCTACAAACTGTACATACAATATATGATCTCTACATACAGTAAATGGTCTGTACATACAGTATATGATCTGTACATTCAGTAAATGGTCTGTACATACATAATATGGTCCCTACAAACTGTACATAAAGTATATGGTCTGTATATTCAGTAAATGGTCTGTACATACAGTATATGGTCCCTACAAACTGTACATAAAGTATATGGTCTGTATATTCAGTAAATGGTCTATACATACAGTATATGATCTCTACATACAGTGTATGGTCCCTACAAACTGTACATACAATATATGATCTCTACATACAGTAAATGGTCTGTACATACAGTATATGATCTGTACACTCAGTAAATGGTCTGTACATACATAATATGGTCCCTACAAACTGTACATAAAGTATATGGTCTGTATATTCAGTAAATGGTCTGTACATACAGTATATGATCTCTACATACAGTGTATGGTCCCTACAAACTGTACATACAATATATGATCTCTACATACAGTAAATGGTCTGTACATACAGTATATGATCTGTACATTCAGTAAATGGTCTGTACATACATTATATGGTCCCTACAAACTGTACATAAAGTATATTGTCTGTATATTCAGTAAATGGTCTGTACATACAGTATATGGTCTGTACATACAGTAAATGGTCTGTACATACAGTACACGATCTCTACATACAGTATATGGTCCCTACAAACTGTACATACAGTATATGATCTATACATTCAGTGTATGAGCTCTACATACAGTATATGATCTCTACATACAGTATATGGTCTGTACATACAGTATATGATCTATACATTCAGTGTATGGTCTGTACATACAGTATTTGGTCTCTACATACAGTATATGGTCTCTACATACAGTGTATGATCTCTACATACAGTATATGATCTATATATTCAGTAAATGGTCTGTACATACAGTATATGATCTCTACATACAGTATATGGTCCCTACAAACTGTACATAAAGTATATGGTCTGTATATTCAGTAAATGGTCTATACATACAGTATATGATCTCTACATACAGTGTATGGTCCCTACAAACTGTACATACAATATATGATCTCTACATACAGTAAATGGTCTGTACATACAGTATATGATCTGTACATTCAGTAAATGGTCTGTACATACATAATATGGTCCCTACAAACTGTACATAAAGTATATGGTCTGTATATTCAGTAAATGGTCTGTACATACAGTATATGATCTCTACATACAGTGTATGGTCCCTACAAACTGTACATACAATATATGATCTCTACATACAGTAAATGGTCTGTACATACAGTATATGATCTGTACATTCAGTAAATGGTCTGTACATACATTAGATGGTCCCTACAAACTGTACATACAGTGTATGGTCTGTACATACAGTATATGGTCTGTACATTCAGTATATGGGCTGTACATTCAGTATATGGTCTGTACATACAGTATATGTTCTGTACATACAGTATATGGTCTGTACATACAGTATATGGTCTGTACATACAGTATATGGTCTGTACATTCAGTATATGGTCTCTACATACAGTATATGGTCTCTACATACAGTATATGGTCTGTATATTCAGTAAATGGTCTATACATTCAGTATATGGTCCCTACAAACTGTACATGCAGTATATGGTCTGTACATACAGTATATGGTCTGTACATACAGTATATGGTCTGTACATACAGTACATGGTATATGTACATACAGTGTATGGTCTCTGTACAGTACACCATACCAACACATACAACTACATCGTCTTTCTTGGATCCCTGTGCCTACATAATTTGTCCCTTCAGTATATGCCATCTGCCCCCTGGAGATATCGGTTTAGAACGGACCCTCACCAACCTCTCCTGGTCGTAAAAGGCGGCTCAATACATCGGTTGGTCAAACTCGGTTACTGGGTTGACTGTGTGGCTTGGTAGGAATATCGCTGTGGCGTTTAGTAAGTGTTTGTTGCACTATTGGTCTGCTTGTGACACTTCGATAAACTTTGCGCTATAAACCAAAGACAGTTTTCACACTTTATGCTTTATGTAAACGTAGGATGAGTCATGAGTATTGTTTTACGCCGCCTTTGCCAATATTCCAGCAACATCACAGCGGGGGGCACCAGGATGGGCCGCCTGGGGGGTGCAGCACAGAGGTGTATGTGCCCGCCAGCCATGCTAAATGTTCGGGTTCGACAGACTGATGTTCCTCTTCCGCACTAAGTAATCAGGCTACGGTGGTGATGCCAAGATTGGGCTTCAAACATTGCACCCGTATGGGAATTGGACCTGGGACTGCGCCGTCTTCGCCCAACGCTTTAACAGCTGGGCCACCCAACCGCGCTACAACGTGGCAGTATATCTAATAGGAGTTCACAGTGTATTACTGCAGATAATACTGTTTCTATGTGTGGGTAACGCCCACCTCTGCAAATCAAACGAACGCGAATCAAATCCTCTGAAACATATCTTTATTTCATTGACAAAAATATAATAAATCTCAATTTGATACAATATATTCATAAATTAACAATGAGTATGTACATACAATGTAAAAATAGAGAGCTCTCCAATTGTCAAGTAGTAAATGTGAATAAATGGACGTCCTAACTACATCCGGGTATCTGTGACCAGCAAACTCCGCACAGGGATAGCACATCTTCCCGGAGTCTTAAGCACATTTCCACGCCGACAGCCGTTCCTTCATCTCCCGATGAGAATAATCATCGTAAAATATTTGATAACTGGAATAAAATTGTTTGAACAGCTAACACTGGTAAACGGAGAGCAGCGCTTATGAACGATACCAGTTCAATTTGGCTCGTTCTAGATGTGTTCTCCTTAACAAACACAGTAACATAACACATTCACGCTCAAAGTACAGGTAATAAATAAAAGTTTGACTTCATCATCGTTTGTCATTTGAGATCGGTGGTCCGTTCTAGCACCACTTGATTGAGGACATGATAACATAATACTGAGTTGAGCACTGTTTGGGGTGGGGGGTTGGGGATGGGGGATCAGCGTCTTCCATGTTCCTACGCTCTTTGTTTAGTCTCCATGACGCCAATATCTTGTTGCAAAGGTTACGTCCCATACCCCCTCCATGTACCCCCTTCTTTGTGTGCCAGGAGGGGAGCGGTCTGACACTTGGATAGCCAATCAGAAGTCATAGTGAGATCACGTGATTCGTCCACCTGAAGAAAAGATTTGAGATTAGTTGAACGTCTTTGACACGATATTTACGATTACGACACAAAGCTGTAGCGTAGGACACACTGGGCAAGTGAGAATATCAAAGTTATGAATGTCAAATTGCAGTTATCACAAGCGTATTTGGAGGTAAACACCGCGTCGCCATCGTGATTAATGGCTGTCTTGACAGGTGACAGGGCGACCTGTTGATTGCATACCAGAGTTTTAATTAACTATTGATTAAATTATTCAATGAAATCATTGGGATATTCATTTTGTTATGATTATACTATGTTACATGCCACACAAAAAATAAATGATTGTTTCATTTGATGCTTTGGCAAATATCCTAGAAATTATTTTCTGGTTGTGGGTGAATAAAATATTCAAAGTGTGAATAAATATCGTGAATACTAGCAACAGCATGATGGATAGACATCTGTGTAAGAGTTCTAATTTAAATAAACCAGTTAAAGTTGCGGCTTTTTTCAATTGTTACACACGAGTGACAAATTATATGTGTAATATATTACAATATATATATATATATAAATTATAATATTATTAATACAAATTATATAAATAATATATTACAATATATATATATATATATAGATATAGATATAGATAGATTATAATATTATTAATATATATAATATTGTAATATTATTAAATATATAATATAATTTGTCACTCGTGTGTAACAATTGAAAAAAGCATATATCTATATATATATATATATATATAAAATATAAGATGACAATGGAGTTGAAAGTTTAAAACAGCAAGACAAATAAAATCAATCTATATGGAATTATAAATGACAAACCTAAGAAATAAAGTAATTTATTCTGAGAGATTGTTTGTGTGTGTGTGTGTGTGTGTGTGTGTGTGAGAGAGAGAGAGAGAGAGAGAGAGAGAGAGAGAGAGTACGTCGTTGTGGCTATTATCAGCCATAGCGACGGGTAAACCTTCAGAGGGAGGGCATGTTAAATGAGACGATGAATGAAGGAACATACCTGTATGGGTTCAGAACCAGTTGGCGAAATCAATCAAATCATCCTCATCGATGGTCAGCGTCTCGTACGAGGAGTCTGTGGAGCAGGGTGACGGCGATGGGGAGCTAGTGGAGGGACTGGGGGAGAGGCACGACTCGGGGGACATGGAACATGCCCCCTCTAGCATTGCCCGACTCCCCTCAAGCACAGCCCTCATGGCCTCGGGGTCGCCAATCATACCCTGAAGATGACGGATGTATTCGATGGCGGATCTCAGAGTTTCAACTTTGCTCATTTTCTTGGACTTGGAGCCCTTGGAGCCGTGCGGTAGATGCTCGCGGAGGGTGGCAAAAGTCATGTTGATCAGCTTTACCCTGTTGCGCTCCCTCTCGTTTCTCCTCGCGACGGCGACAGTGGGGGGACGGTGGAAGCCCAGGTAGGTCTGATGGGGTGAAAAGTCGAGACGTCTGCGGCACTGGGACGCCTCCCTCGCGTTCTCTTTCATGGACATCCTGAGAGACTTGTTCCCGGGGGTAAGGGGAGATGGGTGGGGTGAAGTGGCCATTGAGGCCATTGAGAACATGCACGACGGTCTGTCTGGGAGAGGTGACGACAGGACTGTTTGTCCTCCAAGAGTCGTGACGGGTAGTACCGTATTTTCCATCATGATGCCAGGCTCTGCTAGATCCAAACGGGAGTGTTGTTTAGTAAGATTGTTTGTTCCCTCACGCGACAAGCTTCTCTTATATAGCCAGGCGCGAGAGTTACGCTAGCCACGCCTACCGCCTTATCAGTTATTTAACTGTCAAGTTGCGCGAGCCTGCCACGCGACTCCCAACTCGCACTTGAGTAAGCACGCTCAATGTACAGGGCACGAGCTGTGACGTCACTCGACGGAACCAGTGATGACGGAGAAACAAAAGAAGTTTGGAGATTGGCTCGTGAAGCCTATCGGGAACTTAATGTGTATACGGGGGAAAAAAACATCCACCCGTTTGAAGTGAAGGAAGGTGTTCCGTCTCGCGGCGATCTTCATTATAAGTTTCATTTTAAACATTCAAAGTTTTACTAACGGGACTGCCAAGTGAGAGGGCGCGTGACAAGCCTATCGTGTGATGAAAGGCATTGGATAATGATGAATGTGAATGTGCAGAGAGTGGCCTGTCTCCCTGTGGGGACAAAGACGCATGGGAAACGCGCTTTTTGGGACAAAAACTACCCGAGAAGTTATCGTGGGAAACACGGGGTAGAGCGTATTGACACAGCTTTCTGAACACTGCAGATAACGATAGCTCTGAATCGGACAATCAGAACAGTTTGCATAATCTTTGATTTTATTATCAGTATTCTAAGTGACCCCACCCCCCACCCCATCCCCGAACCCCCCACCCCCCACCCCCCACCCCCCACCCCCCACCACACACACACATTCTCCCGATTTCTTAGACATACTGTGTCAATTGTCATTAAATTATAGTATAGATGTTCCTTCATTGTAGTATACCGTCGCCGAATACCCCTCTCTCTTCTCTCTCTCTGTGTCTCTCTCTCTCGCTCTCTCTCACACAATATTTCAGCAGTAAAGCAACTATACCTAACAAGCAGCACTTGAAACCATAGGGTTTGTTAAAGTAATGTAAACAGTAAATGTACGTATGTACTTGTCGCAGAGACGAACAACCTCACGAAAACATGCTCGACACAGGATAAAAACAAGTAATAAATAAATACACTAACGTCATTCACACCTCTCCCATGAATGTAAGTCCGCGTGAATTGCCAACTTTTCTTCAACTGTCAACAAAATTTGTCTATCTCTGTCAGTGGATGAGGTATTCTTAAGCTGTTAATAATGTTTTCAATTTGAATTGACAATACGTCCTCAAATATACAGTTCTAATGACGTCTGAAGCAAGATAAACGTAATCGATTTTCCTTCAGTTTTCTGTTTGTTTGTTTGTTTTAAGTGTGTGAGTGTGTATGGTTTTACGCCGCTTTAGCAATATTCCAACAATATCACGGCGGGGGACACCAGAAATGGGCTTCACACATTGTACCCATGTCGGGAATCGAACCCGGGTCTTCGGCGTGAAGAGCGAACGCTTTAACCACTAGGCTACCCGACCGCCCCTTGTTTGTTTTAAACTATTTGCATCATGCTAACTCATGTGTGTAATGCAGTTACATTTACTGGTATTTTAACTTTAAAATGTTTAATCACTTCTACCGCAATATATTCAAGTGGTGTTTTCAAACCATGATACAGTGCGGCAAAGCACACGGCATCGACATAGTAAATTCGATGACCACCTTAATTGGCTCGGGTAGTTCTTGAATATTTCAACATTATGGTACAAAAAACATGACGAGGCGTGTATGGGAGGTTGGAAAATCCAACCAAATTCTACTGCGACCAAAAGGTTAGTAAACAGGGAATTTACCATCCTGACTGTTAGATTGCATGCGGCAGCGGTGGAGAAAAGGGTATCATATTTCAGTTTCGGCACCAAGATCACATGACATTGCTCACTTCCGCCTTGGTCAATGTCACGCTCGCCATTTGGAGACAAGGAGAAGATTATGAGTTAGTGTGTTAAGTGTATATTGGCCATGTAACATTATTAGTGAGTGAGTGAGTATGGTTTTACGCCGCTTTTAGCAATATTCCAGCAACATCACGGCGGGGGACACCAGAAATGAGCTTCACACATTGTACCCATGTCGGGAATCGAACCCGGATCTTCAGCGTGACGAGCGAACGCTTTAACCACTAGGCTAACCGACCGCACCTGTAACGTTATTAACACAGAATAACCAAGAAACGAGCATTTATTTAATTGTAGTAAACTATGCTACAAGCTTAGTGATAAACAACTGCAGCTACTAAATTATGAGATTATTAAATTATTAAATTTAGTATTCACTACTAAAACTAGTAGTTCTTCGAAAAATGGATAGTAATCTCTGTTAACTGATACAAACTAGTAGTTCTTCGAAAGGTGGATGGTAATATCTATTACAGCCCGTCGTAGATTTGTACAATTTAAGTAAGGATAAGAATTTATGAATAAACAACTTCTTTATTATAATTAAGAGCGACGCTTCGGTGTTGGCACTAACACCGTTATCAAGCAAGTGATATACAGAGTTACTTACTTAAATTAGGAATTTAACGTGCGCTTTCCGACATATGCGTATTGCGTGCACGGGCCGGCCAGGCCAATTTGGTGTTTGGTCGAAAAGGGTATGTCCGAATAGGTGAGGCAACCTAGGTGGGGCTTTTTAGGCTTACTTAATTTGGAGAACAAATTTTGAATTTTGAAATATGCCATGCAAAAGATGGGGGGGGGGGGATTAAAAGGAGTTTGTGTGTTTTTTATAGGTTTAGAATTTTAGGGTTTATTGGCAGCTTGTTTGTGGTACATTTATTTTTAAATGCGGCCAAGTAGGCCTGATTTGATTTGATATATGCCTAGTGCTTTAAAGGTTTGTAAGTCATTTAGGGGGTTTAGTACCGTCGCTAGTGTCATTTGATTGTTGCAATTTAGTGTGGATTGTAGTGTTGTTCTGTGTTGCAGGTAATGTATGCAATATTGTGTTACGTGTTCAGGCGTTTCTTTTAAGTTGCAGTGGGGGCATTTTCCGGTTTGGTGTTTTATAATATATATATATACAAGTAGGAGGCAATGTTTATACAGTAGAGTACATATTGTTATACTGGAATAGAGAAGACTGTTATGTACACACAAGGGTAGTGATGACAATCATCGGTGAAGTCAGTGACATCAACAAAGGATGAAGCCAGTAACGAAACGTCGTTCTTAGTTATAACTAAGAAGTTGTTCATCCATAAATTCATATCCTTACTTAGTACTCCAACTTCTAAATGCCTATCACAGAAGTTGTACAATTTAGTATCAGTCAATAGGGATTAACATATCTCAATAGAGACTATCATGTTAGTATCCGAGTGGACAGTGAAATGTCTTTAACACGTTAGTAATCTTCACTAACTATTTCTGTCAGCGAATGTGTTTGCCTGACACGGCCTTGTGCAGGGAGGCAATGTGAGAAACAATGACGACGGCCTGTACATAATCAAATCTGGAGTGAGTGAGTGAGTTGGGTTTAACGCCGCTTTTAACAGTATTCCAGTTATATCACGGCGTGTCAGCTTAATGTGGGAGGAAAGCCCGAAGTGATGCATGTCTCTGACGTTTACCACTTCGGTGAAACCCAAGAGCACGGGTATGGTGCTGACAAACCTAGAAACATAATCGGGGCGAACCGGGATTCGAACCCACAATCATAGGTTTCTGGCGTTCCCTAGGGACGCAACTCTGCACAGCGAATCGCGGCGCCTTAGACGACTGGGCCAGCCACTCGTGCCCCCTGAAATCTGGAACAGATAAACCTGTGACTGACGGCGACTGCAACTGTTTGACCACTGACTCTCTTTATAGTCGGATCTTGCTCTGACCTTGCGATAAGCCTTGACCACCATATCTATCTATCTATCTATCTATCTATCTATCTATCTATCTATCTATCTATCTATCTATCTTGAAACAAACGAAGCGTTTTCAGGTGAGGCTTTTATTTACGTAGGTTACATGAATTAAAATAACACAGAACATAAATCCAGTGCATAAATTTTTAGGAAAGGGTATGGGCACTCGCATTTTTAAAATGCGCATTTATGTCTAAAATCAAGAGCTCGCATTATTTTCATGTCGCATGAAATTCCTGTTTTACAGTATCTATCTATCTATCTATCTATCTATCTATCTATCATTCTATCGTTCTATCTATCGTTCTATCTATCGTTCTATCGTTCTATAGTTCACAACATGGTTTAAATCGGAGAAATTACTGTAATCAGTTCCTCCTATTTTCTCCATAACGTGAGGGCCCCACTGGGTAGGAGTACGTACATATTGGTGAGTCATGGTGTTACCATATTTCTTCAAAATTATGTGCCGATGTCTGGTTATGTCGTAACGCTTGGAACGCACGTGAGGAACCGCCATTTGCCAAAGGAGCAACAACTAGACCTCAGAAAGGAACCTGCCCGTCCACGGTGTTTGTCTACGCAAGGTTTAGTTGATGAAGCTGATAGATTTTGTAAAAATGCGAAGCACAACTGTAAAAGCCAGATTAGCGGACTGTTCCCCTGAGCCGCAGAATAACGCCGTCTTAATGTTGCACGGGGATGTAGACTCCGTCGTCCTCATGTTGCACGAGGACGTAGTCTTCGCTGTCAACTGCAAAAATATGCCGTACCTGACGTGACTATCAAATGGCACAATGCAACCTGACAGTCGTTGACCTATTGTAAGTACCTGTGATTTCATGCCGATATATATAGTCTAGGATTGCAGGATGAGCGTTATCAAGTCTATATTTATCGCAATCCATGTTGTATAACAGTCGAAGTATTTTTTCAACTTTCACTGACGTACTTAACGCCATTTACGGCTGCACGAAAACAAAGAGCAGTGGGAGTTGGGGTCGAAAAAACAAAACGCTTTGTTTAGGATGAAAATTGTTTATTCCTCCTTTCGGAGAAAAACTATGTGCACTCACGAGAGCTATATATATGAAACAAGGGTCCCCATTAACTGCAATCATTGACAAGTTGCCGGAGCCGGGCCGCTCTCTGTCATCCATGCAGAGGTAACATTAGGTAGTCCCTTGAAGATACTCTGGTTGAGGCTTTCATTGTTATGGCTGAGAGGGTGAATGAGTGAGTGAGAATATAGAAAAAAGTATATCGAGTTTG